ATAAACATGCGTGTGCATACATCTGCTTGGATGTCAGTTATGGTCTCTTTGGGTGAGCTGATTCTTAATCAATAACAAGAATAAGGTTACTTTCTCAAAAAGTTGCAAATAGAGATACCATTTGACCCAGCAATTCCACTACTGGGAATATACCCTGAAGAGACCATAGCTGACATCCAAGCAGATATATGCACACCCATGTTCATTGCAGCTTTGTTCACAATAGCAAGGAGTTGGAAACAACCTAAGTGCCCATCAACAAACAAATGGCTAGAGAAGCTGTGGTATATTCGCACAATGGAATACTATGCTGCATTGAAAAACAAGGAACTCATGCAATATTATTCAAAATGGTTGACTCTGGAGAACATTATGCTGAGTGAAATATCCCAGTCACAAAAGGACAAATATTACATGATGCCACTGTTGTAGAATGGGACTGTCCTTGGGGTTAGGGAGACACTGAGTAAGATGGGTTCAATAATGTATACTGCACTGAAGCAGAGGAGGGAGAGAACCGTCTAAAAGAGAGATGTAACTGGGTATTTCTGTCATCACAGGAGACTAGAGCGAGGGCTGCATGGTGGAGGGGACCTGGGGGAGGGTTTGTAAAACAATGAAAGAATCTTTTCTTTTACTTTTCCGTAATTTTTGGACTCATGTACTTATAACTTGTTAGTCAAATTTGTGTCTTCTAGGTTGCAACACCCCCATGATACATCTTGAAGGATATGTACATGTACAGCCAAGCACAATCAATAAGAGTGCATCTGAATTCCAAAATCAATCTCCATAATAGTCTATGTGTTTCCTACTGCCAAAGGGGCCCTTTAGAGTAGTGAGAGAAGATCTTCACCCTGAACCCCACAGCGTCCCTTTTCAGCAGGAAGTAGCTAAGAGAATACGCCGTCCCCTTTTCCTTATGACTCAGGGTGAAGTCTCTCTCAGGGAGGAGTGATAGGGAATGGCAAAGGATACACTGACAAAGAAGATTAATCAGAACTGGCTTTGACAAGCACTGTGGCATTTGGACAAGAACAAACTGGGAGGAGGGTAGAGAGAATAGTGCAACAATGAATGAGTGGAAGCCCAAAATCTCTGCAAATGTTTATGAAAATTAATAAAATATAATTATAGAAAAAAAAAAAGAATAAGGTTACATTCATGATCAAGCTCAGCTAAGAAGTCTGCTAACCCAAAAGTGGTTCTCTCTGGTGGTTCAAATACACCAGCTACTCTATGAAAGAAAGATGGGCAATTTCCTCTGAACAATTTATAGCTTCCATAATCAAAACCAAAACCAAACCAAACCAAACCACACACATACACATATACCCGCTGAAGCAAGGAGTCAATTTCAATTTGAAAGTAATGAATGAGAGTTGATTAAGTGCCCCTAAGGGGGCACCCTACACAATCAGAATACTTCCTGTCCAAAGGTGGTCTTACACACTGAGTATGCCAGACAACTGCAGCCATTTGCAGTCTTGTGTCACTATTGTTTCTTGCCACTGTCAGTACTATAGCTCGGTTGCCATTCTTCTAGGTCTCTGGTAAATTGGGTCTAGGAAGTTCCCAGCATAGCAACCCATGGGTCAAAAGATATGTTCTGTTCTTAGCTTTGCTTTTTTGAAATGGGATCCTTTTTAATCTTTGGGAATAGCTCTTTTAAGCCTAGCAGGATGGCAAAAGAGACCACCAATTCCCTTGAAGGCACATAAACACCTTATTTGTATACCCAGGACAATAATTTTATATACTTATTTTCATAGTATTACTTCCAACTATTCAATTCATAAGGTAAACAAATCATTTGAGAAGCTGGGCTTTAGAAAAAAAGATTATGGTATCAAGATGGGAATAAGGCTGAACACCAACCTGGGCTATACAGATGACACAGCCTTGCTTATTGAAAAGTGGGGGTGGAGTGGAGGGGGATTTGAGATGTTTGCTGCAGAAGATACAGGCCTATATCCTTCAATACAAATTACAACTCAGCATCAAGAAGACAAAGATTCTCACAAGTGGGCAAATATGCAACATTATGATGGATGGAGAAAAGAATGAAGCTGTCAATAATCTTACTTTGATCCACAATCAACACTGTTGGTACCAGCAGCCAAGAAATCAAAAGACGTACTGTATTGGGTTTGTTGTCAAGGATCTCGCTAAAGTATTGAGGAGCAATGATGTCAGTTTAAAAATGAAGATGTGCCTAATTCAGGCCATGGTCTGTTCAATCACTTGTTATTCAGTTGAGAGTTGGACAATGAAAAAGAACGACAGAAGAAGAACCAATGTCTTTAAGTTGTGGTGTGGGAGAATTGTAATGAATATGCCATGGATTGCCAAAATAAGCCAAACAGGTAAGTACTGGAGAAAGTGCAACTAGAGTGCTCCTTAGAGGGATGGCAACGTTTCTTCTCACTTACTTTGGACATTTTGTTAAGAGGGGCTATTCCATGGAAAGGGACATCATACTTAGAAAGGTAGAGGGTCAGCAAAGAGAGGAAGACCCTCAACAAGATGATTTCACACAAAGACTGCAACAATGGTCTCAAGTATGACAGAGATGAAGAGGATGGCACAGGATAGGGCAAGGTTCAAATCCACTGTTTATAGAGTTGTTATGAGTTACAGTTGACTTGAAAGCACATAACAACAACTACTTGCACAAAAGTTCTATGAACTTAATTTACAAAATCTCAACCAGTCATTTAATAAGAGTTAAAAGACCATGGCTAAATAGGCCATACAAAAGCAGTTCACTGCATCAATGCTACTACCTACATGTCATAATAAACTGTAAGATTTATTATGAAACATATGAAAGCTTAAGTCGCAGAGCTATGTTTTAATCTGAAATGAGTATCAAGAAGACAAAACAAAAGATCTAGACATAAAGTCCTCTAATTCCCCCAAGAAATTTGTTTAAGAATACTGTAAATTATTTCAACTTCAAAGATAATGTACTCAATGTTTTGCTGATTCCTTCAAAGAAGTTTGGTTAGTGTATATATCTGAGACTTAAGAGTTCAATGGCCTTAATAAACATTGTAGATAGGAAGATTTTCCTTTAGCATTTCTTATAGTGTGAGTCTGATGACAAGTACAAATGTATTATGATCTAAGAACATTATTTAAGTTAATGAGGTAAATTTCATACAAATACACACTTAGAGGTCAGCTTACGTACGTGCTGGTCAAAAGCTTCGGCTCTCAGGTCAGAAAAACCTAGGTTGGAATGCTGACTTCATCATTAAATAACTGTTAATCTTGAAGAAGTACTTAACTTTTGTGTGAATGAATGAATAAATAAATAAATATAAAAAAAATAAGAGAGAAAAACAAAAGCAGCCTGTTTCACAGCATTATTATTGTGAGAATAAAAAAGAATGAGACTGAGAACACAAATCATATTTGACACACCCTGAGTTCTCAAAAAAACTAGTTATCATCTTTATCTCTACTGCTGAAGAAGTACTGTCAGGCAGACTTCCATATTTGGAAAAGGGGGTGTGTGAGAGAGAGAAAGACATGGCTCAACCTTTAGAAGAGTGTATTATAATGAACAGATGGGGTGGGAAGGAGACAAACAGAGATACTCAATATCATCTTTCAGATGTTGAAAGCTACTAAAACCTGTTTGGGAAACCCTAACAACAAACAGTCACAAAGCAAGGAGAGGGTCATTAGACAGCTTCAAAATAGAAAAAAACACAGGTCAATTGTTTCAAGAACAGTAACCTGTCCTACTCCCATCACCAAACTACCACTGTAGACCTGCTGAGCTCTGCTGGTGTAGCACACAGGCAGTTTTTGGTAACTCAAAGGCCACGCCTTGGTGGTAGTCTGAGAATCCACTTGCAGCTCCAAGGGAGGGAGACAGGCAATCTCCTGAGCCACTGATAGCCCTGGAAAGCCAATGGAGGGTCACATTTGAGTCAGTTCCAGCTTGATGGCAATAAAGGGTTTTCTGAGCATGGTACATATTAAGAGGAATGCTTTTGCACCTAACCAAGTACAGACTGGTTTTTCTTGTTTTGAGTGTGGTATATGTGGTAAACCTGTTAAATAACCAAAACAGGTGTTTCAACTACAGCCTGTGAAACTAGATACGCACTGACAAGTTAAGAATGTGAACAAGTTCCAAAGTTCTTTTAAGTCAAACTCTAGAACATCATGTGAATGCAGAACTTTTTCTATTCTTTTTATAACATATTAGAATTAGCTAGAGAGGTAGCTTACATTATTTGACTTACCAGTTACACACAGAATAAATAATTGAGGTTTTAACTTAATGTAGAGCACGTATTTATATAGAAAGATTGATATTAAATCGTATTCCATTTATAAAAATTAAAAGATTTACATAAAGAATGGGTCCATATGGTCACAGAGAACTATCAAAATTTATCCTGAAATGTTAAAATAGTATGGTTTTTTTATAGTCTACTATAATGACGTTGTTGTTGTTGTTAAGTGCTGTCTAGTTGTAGACAACTCATAGTGACCCAATGAACGAGCTCCCAAATTAAAAAAGACTTAGAAGCTGGAGTGGCGTCCACTTCCAAAATAGCTTGCCTCTGCAAACTCTATGAACTTAGAGAAACGATGAAAGTTATACTGTAACTATAAAAATCTTTTCTGTCTAGAATGAAAAAGGCATTATTTATGAAATCCTCACTATTAAAATTTGTATTATAAAAACAGTATATATCTTAAAATAATACATTTCACCATATAAAATTCCTTTGACAGAATTCAAATAAAGGAAACCCAACTATTTTTTTTTTTAAGGCGAAGGGCCAAGAGCTTTACTAGGCAAAATGGCCAAAACCCAACTATGAAAAAAAAAAATTACACTTGTACTGCTTTTAATATTTACTATAAGCAATGTTCAACTCCTAGTAATTTACGTTAAATCTCAAGATTTTTAGGAGGAATCACTATGGGTCTCTTTCCTAGTCCTAGAAGAAAGACCAGCATTGAAACCATACCTTGTGCTGTTCGATGGCATCTATCCACTGTTGTCTGTGATCAGGATCCTGAGCACGAAGATACCAAACACTGTCATTTACACTAATATCGAATCGACATTCATCAAAATCATGAGGCTATGGAGAAAGAGGGTGAAAATTAAAAGAAATGTTAATTATTTTCTAAGTATTATACCTCATAGCAAAAAAACATGAGTATTCTGTGATGGTAGAAAATTATTATTCTCTTATTTTTCTACTCAACTTTTCTATAAGATATTTCAGATAAGAGAATAAGGACAGTGCCTCAAGAAACCAAGGTTCACTTCCTATTGTTACAAAAAATGGGTTGACAGATAAACTACCAACATCTATTTCTAAGAATCAAATATTTTTTTTTCATCAATGCTTTGTGTTAGCCTAATGTATACCTTCAGGGACACCACCAAATTCAGAATAAACAAAAACCATAGTTTTAGGAAAGACATGTATTAGTTTTCTCCGACCCTATTATTCAAAAATAAATTCCATCATGAATAGTTCTATTTTACTAAACTTAATAAACAAGATATTTTTACATTTAATCACAGAGTATGTTAACATTTCCCTCCAAGTGCCTAAGAATAAATTCTTGGCTTTTATATATTTTTGATAGTAAAAGCTTTCAGTGAAAAACACATAAAATTAATACTGCATTTTATATAATGTTAGAAAGCGAGCTCTTGCTAGTGATCTGGTCCATGAGGAGGTATGCTAATAAGCCAAAGGCCAAGCTTTTCAGTTGTTTTGAATCCACCAGTGGTTCCACTGGAGAAAGATCGACCATCTCCTCCTGTGTAATTTGAAGCTTCAGAAACCTGCTGGAGGATGAGGAAGTTTTGACTCAACAACAGTGAGTGAATGATGTCCGAAAGCTGGAGGAAATTCCTCTATTAAAGGGTAAGGAACGAAGTGGGGGAAAAGTAAGGTCCGTTTTTTGCTTTAGTGTTTTACGCTCTTTAGAAAAATGTTTTATATACTTATTTCTCCACTAAAACTTTTCCTAATGATTACATTGTTTAAAGCAATAAAATAACACAGTAAATATAAATCCACTAAAAACCATGAATTCAAGTTTGTGACATCTGCTCAAGGGAGAGGTGCTGAATTAGGCTAACTTAACACTGGATACTGAAGATCGCAGTGGGCTTTCTGATTGCCAACGATATGCATATGCGCAGTGGGCTTTCCGATTGCTAACGATACGCATGTGGGAAGGTAGTGTATTCTTTGTCAGGAGACACGGAAGCTATCCACTATCATTTTTTGACCTCACACTATTTATTTCCTCTAATTTTTAACTCCTTTCTTAGAAGAAAATTGTAATCATAAGCACAGTACTTTCCATGAGAGCTCTGTGAATCATGCCAGAAAATTATCAAACACAAGGAATTTGTGGGAGCTATCAATTCAGAACTGAAATGGTGGGGAGACTTATGGCTGGTATCCTCAGGGAGAAGAAGGAACTCCAGGTCAGAAGTTAGGAGGGGGAAAGGTCATGACCTCCTTAGTTTGCAGCTGGTGTCTGCTTATTTGGCAGTCTAAAGGATGGTGTCCTTTTTACTTGAGACATCCAACCTAGCGCCTGGTGGCATGAATCTAAAGAAGTACTGCCCTGTCAGCTAGGCTGTGTGTGGTACCCTTTCTAACCTGTGAGATCTGACCTGATTCTTGGTGCTAGGGTCAGGTAGTGAAATGCTGCATTTTGCACTTGGTGTCAGATAAGTAGAAAAGTGCAGGGATTTGATTTAACATTGACAATTACCTTTATAACAACTTTACATCTCCTTTTAAGTTACAAATTTGAATTCATGTTTTTATTGGCTTTATATTCACTATGTTATTTTGTTTCTTTAAACCATGCTATCATTAGGAAAAGTTTTATTGGGTGAAATAAGGCTATAAAACATTTTAAATATTTTTAAAAAGAATGTAAAACACTAATTCAAAATAATTGATTTTTTTTACTTTCTTACTCTTCTATAGAAGAATTTCTTCTAGCTTTCTGACATCACTCACTAGCTAATCCTCTAGCAGAGTTACTATACTGGCTCTGGTAAAATGTAAAATCCCTTTCACTTATTAAATCCATTCATAATTTATAATTGGGAAGGGCGTACGCCAGGGATGCATCCTATCTCCATACCTTTTCAACCTATATGCAGAACAGATTATCCGGGAGGCTGGGCTCTATGA